GAGTTCGGACAGCGCCTGTGGGCGTGGTTCTTGCCGAGAGGGGCGGGGCTTTGCCGTGGAGGGGCGGGGCCGGGCGGTGGCTGTGGGCGGGGCCTGTACATGAAGGGGCGGGCCCCGCGCGGGGCCGGGCGGTGGGGCTGCGGTGGCTCCGGGGGCTCAGCGCGACGCCGGATACCACGCGTCCGGATACCACGGTGAGGGGCGGGGGCGGGAGCGGTTCCGCGTGTGCCTCCCCCCCCCCCGCTCCGCTCCCCCGCGGTGCGGGAGCTGCCGGACCCCAGAGCATCCCTGGGGACGGGGGCTGCTGCCCGCTCCCCGCTGCCCGGCCCTGTACCGCCCTATAGATACTCCAGACCCACCCCTATAGAACTGCCCCAGACCTGCGCTATAGCTGCCCCAGCTCCTGCTGTCTGACTGTCTCAGACCGTCCCCTATAGGCACCCCATAGACCCTGTCCTTTGTGTACCTCAGACCCTTCTCTATAGCTGCCATAGCGTCTGCCCTGTAGGTATCGCAGACCCTCCCATATAAATACCTCATCCCTGCCCTATAGCTGCCGCAGCCCCTGTCCTATATGTACCCCAGACCCTGCCCTATAACTATCCCAGACCCTCCCCTATAGCTGCCCCAGACCCTGCCCTACAAGCACCTCCCCTGCCTTCTCCAGCCATACCCTGCCCCTGCCCACCCCAGCAGGTCCCCCCTCCACCATGGGGCTCTGGTTTCGGGGTGTCCCACTGATGGGGGTGACACATTCGGCTTCTCAGGTGGCGGGTCCGGATGCCAGCAGGATGATGCTGGTCCCCATCGTGCTGCTCTGGGCCCTGGCTGCTGCAGGTACCCCCGGCGCAGTGGGGTGGGGGGTCCAGGACAGAGCCCCCCCCCCCATCACCCCTCCCTGGGGACCCCCATATGTGGGCACAATGGAGTCCCATGGGCAGGGCCGAGGCGGCCGCAGGCAGGGGGGATGTTCCCGACACGGTGGTGACTCACGGGGCGGCTCTTGGCATCCCCCGGGCTCTCGGCCTTGGCAGGAGCCGCTGCTCAGCCCCATGTGCCAGCATCTGGCTTTAACGGGTGCCCTGTCCCAGCCCAGTGCCAGGACCCAGGATCCTCTGTGTCCTGCTACCCCATGGGGTGTCCAGCTCCATCCCACCACTATATCCCCATACCTGGCCTCCTGGCGGCATGGGATGGGTGACCCCACTGTGTTCTCCCAACCCTGTGCCAGGACCCAGCATCAATGTTGCCTCTGTTCCAACCCTGTGCCAGCACTCAGGATCCAACAGGGACCCCCATGTCCTGCTATCCTATGGGGTGTCCGGCTCCATCCCACCCCTATATCCCCATACCTGGCCTCCTGGCGGCATGGGATGGGTGACCCCATGGTGTACCCCCAACCCTGTGCCAGGACCCAGCATCAATGTTGCCTCTGTTCCAACCCTGTGCCAGCACTCAGAATCCAACAGGGACCCCCATGTCCTGCTATCCTATGGGGTGTCCGGATCCATCCCACCCCTATATCCCCATACCTGGAGCATCGTGACCCCACTGTGTCCCCCTAACACAATGCCAGCACCCAGGATCCAACAGGGACACCCCTATCTCACTATCCCATGGGGCTCTATCCCACCCCATATCCCAATCCCAGGGCTCCTGGTTGACCGGATCATGGGATGTGTGACCCCACTGTGTTCCCCCACCCCACAGACCAGCCCCCCGTCACCATCACCGCATCCATCGGGGATGACGCCTGCCTGCCCTGCAGCACCCAGCCTTGGGGTCACCTGCGGGGGGTCACCCTCAGCTGCACCCACTACAATGGGTCCCACCACCCCATTCCCGTCCTCCGGCACCGCTTGGGCTGGCTCCCACCGGAGCCGGGCTGGAGCCCACCGGAGGAGCCCGACAACCGCTTTAGGGGCCGGGTGTCCTTCTGTACCGGGGGGCCGGGGGGCGCCGGCCTGGCCCTGCTCCTGAGGAACCTCAGCGATCCCGACTTCGGGAATTACTCCTGCTACGTGGCCGGTGCTGCCCCCCCGCAGCTCCTCTGCAGCCTGGTCCTGCAGCCCACGGCGGACGGTGAGCGGGGCTGGGGCTGGGGAGGGTGCAGCCGCTGGGTGGGATCTGCACTTTGGGGGTCCCCCACGCTTTGGGGGGGGGGCTCCCATCCTGTCCCTGTGATGCTCCGTAGAGGTGCCCAGGGGCGCGGAGCCGGACATGATCACAGTGGTGTGCGTCCTCGTGGCTGCGTTCACGGCGGTGGCCATCGGGGTGGTGATGTGCTGCCGCTGCGGGTGCTGCGGGAGGAGAGGTGGGTGCTGCGGGGGACGTCCCGTTTGGTTGGGGTGGGATCTGGGGAAGGGGGAGTGGAGAAGTGGGGGGATGAGATTGGGATGGGGATGGGCTGCGGTATGAATGGGAATAGGATAGGGATGGGTACGGGGAGGCTGGGATGGGGAAGGGATGGGAATGGGAGCAGGCTGGGATTTGGATGGGGGCACGATGGGGATGAGACTGGCATGGGGATGGACCTGTGATAGTGATGCAAAGGGTTAACAAATGTACAGGGGGGGATGGGATGGATTTGGGATGGGGACAGGATGGGAATGGAGGTGGGCTCGATGGAGATGGGATTGGGATGGAGATGGGGTGGGATGGGATGAGGACAGAGATGGGGACGGGATTTGGATGGGGATGAGATTGGGATGGGGATGAGATTGGGATGGGGATGGGCTGCAGTATGAATGGGAATAGGATAGGGATGGGTACGGGGAGGCTGGGATGGGGACAGGGATGGGGAAGGGATGGGGATGGGAGCAGGTTGGGATTTGGATGGGGGCAGGATAGGGATGAGGTTGGCATGGGGATGGACCTGTGATAGTGATGCAAAGGGTTAACAAATGTACAGGGGGGGAATGGGATGGATTTGGGATGGGGACAGGATGGGAATGGAGATGGGCTCGATGGAGATGGGATTGGGATGGGTATGGGGTGGGATGGGAATGAGATGGGGATGCAGGTAGGGATGGGACTGGGGACAAGGATGGGATTAGGAATCGGAACTGGGATGGGGACGGAAACAGGACAGGGATGTGGGTGGGAGCAGCTCTGCGTGGGGCACCCATGAGTGGCACATGGGGGTCCCATGGTCCCGTCTCACCATCATCCCCATCGTGGGTGGGAGCAGGAGGAGCAGGAGCAGGAGCAGCACCGGTGGCTCTGGGTGACATGAAGAGTTCCAGCGCCTGAGCCCCAGCAGCTCCCGTGTGCCCAGGACAGCATGGGGCCCGGCTCCTCCAATAGGATCTGGGGGGACAAGGACCCCGGGTGGGTGGCAGGATGGGTGCTGAGGGGGGGGGATGTAGGGGCAGTCCCCAAATAAAGCCATTGCTCTGGAGAGGGGGGTGACCCCTCCTTACCGGAGCACCCCTGCCTACACCCCACATTCCAGCAGGTATATGGGTCCGGGGGCAGGAGCAGGACATGGAGCTCCTGGAGCAGGGATGGGGAAGGGGGGAGCTGGGTCGGGAAGGGCTGTGGGGATCCCGGGGGTGGGGATACGAGACGGGGGGTCCCGGTACTGGGAGGGAGTGCGGGGGTCCTGTTGATGGGGGTGTCCCCACGCTCCCCCGAAACCCCGCGCCCGCAGAGCGGCGCTGACGACGGCAGGGATGGCCACGCCCATGTCCCCGCTCTATCCAATCACATCCGTGATCACGCTCCGTTGACCACGCCCCCTCCGCGTTGGCCACGCCCCCGTCCTTGCCCGTGTCCCGCAGCGCGGTGGCGGCAGCGGAGCGTTTCTGTCCGTGTCCCCCCAGTGTCCCCTCTCGGCCCCGGCTCCATCCCATTGCCGGCCCGGCCCCAGCAGCCGGTCCCTCCGTCCCGCAGCGGGATGCACAGGCCCGTCCGTTCAGCGGCCCCGTCCCTGGGCACACACGTGTGCAGGCACATGCATGGACAGGCACACACGTGTGTGCAGGCACCTCCCGCCCCACGGCCAGCCAGCTCCCGGGGATGTACGGGTCTAACGGGTGGACGCAGTCATAGAAACACAGGATCACGGAATCAGCCAGGCTGGAAAAGCCCTTTAAGCTCATCCAGCCCAACCGTTCCCAGCAGTGCCAAGGCCACCACTGACCCATGGCACTGAGGCCTCGTCTCCACGCTGTGTGAACACTTGCAGGGACGGTGCCTGCAGCCCTGCCCTGGGCAGCCTGTTCCAATGCCTGAGCACCCTCTGGGGCAGGAATTGTTCCTCAGCTCCATCTAAACCTGCCCTGGTGCAGCTTGAGGCCGGTTCCTCTTGTCCCATCCCTTGTTCCTTGGGAGCGGAGATCTAGATCTGATGGATGGACACAGAGAGCTGGTGGGTGGACACATAAATACAATGGGCAGGCACATAGATGTGATGAGGGGTACACAGATATCACAAGTGGAGGTACAGGTCTGATGGATGAACGGATAGGTGTGATGAGGACAGTGCCTCCTTGTGCCAACACGGGCACCTTCATCACAGGGGCAGAACCAGTGCTGTGAGGACCAGGGCATGTTCAGCCCCACCAGGACCTCATGGGTTACCCGAGGTGGCTCTTTGGAGACCCCCAGCCATCAGCCATGGCATTCTGGGGCCATGGGGGGCTCTTCCAGCAGCATCCATAGCAAACACCTCCTGGGGTGGTGGGGCCAGGGGGTGGCTCCTTGGTGACATGTGGTGGATGTCATCACTGGTGGCTTTAGTGACCCTAAGAGCGAGAAGAGGGGTTTTGGTTTCAGTTCCTTTGCCCCAAGCTCCATCCTTCCTCTGGGAAGGGCCATGCTGGCACCAGCGGCTGGTCCTTGGGGATTTCCAGCCCTAATGAACCTTGGGGGAGAAGAGTAACAGTAATAGGATAATAAATAGGATAATAGATAACAATGCAAGGCGACTCTCCCCTAGGCAAAGAGGACCTGTCCCATGTGCCTCGGGGATGGGGCAACGGGGGTGAGGGGGTATAGGGGTGTGATGGTGTCACAGCAGACACACCAAATTAAGGGAAATGGTAAGAAAACCACCAAAACTTCCCATTTTAAACTCAGCTCATAGATTTTAGCAGCAGGGAGAGGAAGTGCCGGGATTTGGCCTCCAAATTCCCCACATCTGTGAGGTCACTGGGGGCAGAGCATCAGCACTGTTGGGTTTGGGGTGATTTCTGCAAATCTGGGGTTAGAGACTCGGCTTTGCCCTTTCAGGGCACTCCCAAATCTCCCCATCCGGGTGTGTTTCAGGGCTGAAGGATCTCCTGCATCCCACCTGTCCCCCTTGTGTCCCCCTGAGGGCTGTCACCAAAGCCATCCTGCCAGGACGGGGGTCTCTGGGGCAGGGACAGCACGATTCGGGCAGTTTTGGGTCTGCGGGATCAGCCAGGAGGGATTCAGCTTGTCAGTCAGCAAGGATGGACAAACAGGGTGCGCTGGCCCTTTAAGGCGGAGGTGCGCTGGCCCTTTAACCCGTGAACAGGTGCGGCGGGGGTCTGTGTGTGTGAGACCGGTGGCGGCTGAGCGACGGCTCGAAGAACCAATGGGAAAGCAGAATGGGCTGGACAGACCAATGAGCGGAGCGGCCGAGGGAGGAGGCGGGCCCTCGGGCTCCTTAGTGCTGCGGTGTCTGTAGGCTCAGGAGCCGGTTCGGTTTCGTTCGGCTCCATTCGGCCTGGTTCGGCTTCGTTCGGCTCCATTCGGCCTAGTTCGGCTCCGTTCGGCTCGGCTCGATTCCGTTCGGTCCGGTTCAGCTTCCCTCGGCTCGGCCATGGAGAGTACGGAGGAGGGGTGCACGGTGTCCCCCGAGGAGGATTTCTCCTTCGTGAGCCCCATAGTGAAGTTCGTGCTCTTCTTCTTCAACATGCTCTTCTGGGTGAGTGACACCGGGACCCCCCCATACCGAGGTACCCACCAGGACCCCCCATCTCGGGGGCTCGCCAGGGACCCTCCCCCTTAAGGCTGTCCCAATTGCTGCACCCCATGGGACACCCCCATCCCAGGATTCCCCCCATCCCACGACCCTCTTTATCACTGGGGCTTTTGGGGTACCTCATGCTCATGCTATCACCCATGGGTGCCCCCCAAACCTGTTGCTTTCTGCACCCTTTGGGATGCCACAGCCCTTTTGAGGGTGGCCCCCATCCAAAACAGGGCCACTGGGATGAGTGGCTGTCACCCACTAGGTGCCATCGACACCCAAACCACATCCCTTGGGGCACCTTTGGGCCCCCCATGAGCAATTTGCCGTGGGTGGGTGGGGGGTATACATTTTGGGTTTTTTTCATATTTTGGGGGTATATTTTAATGTTTTAATGGTTATTTTTATAGGTTTGGGGTTTTTTTTGGAGGTGGGGACTTTTTGGAAGGATGTTTCCGTGTTTCAGATCCCATCTTTGAGGAAGCTTCTTGCTTCCGACAAACCACATCCCTGTGTTGGGCTCTGTGTCCCCTCCCCAGCCAGCTCCGTATGGGGTAACAAGGGGAAACTGAGGCAGCAGGTCCGACCGTGAGGGCCCACTTCCAGCCCTGAATCCATGGGGATGGCAGCTGATGGTGCCCACCCATGGTCTTGCTCTGCAGGTGATCTCCATGGTGATGGTGGCAGTGGGAGTCTATGCCTGGCTGCTGAAGCACGCAGGTGAGGTTGGGGGGCTCGGGGGGGACACAACACTGAGGCTCCTCAGTGCCCCTCCTGCTCTGGAGGGGGTGTTGGAGGGCCGGTGGTGATGGCTCCCCATGGCAGAGGCGACCATGGCGTGCCTGGTGGTGGACCCCGCCATCCTCCTCATCGTGGTCGGCGTCCTCACCTTCCTCATTGCCTTCTGTGGTTGCATTGGCTCCTTACGGGAGAACATCATCCTGCTGCAGGCGGTGAGTCCATGGGCACGTGGGGACCTCCCTTGGGCCACCCCATGGGACTGGGGCCACTTTGCTGTGATCCTCCCTGGCCATCACACTCCTCTCACCCGCAGTTCTCTATCTGCCTGGCCATCATCTTCCTCCTGCAGCTGGTCGCTGGCGTGCTGGGATTTGTCTTCTCCGATAAGGTGACTGCTGGAGGGGTCAGGGGCTGAGGGACCCCAAGCCTGTCCCACTGGGTGGTGGCATCACTGATGTCCCTGTTGCAGGCACGCGGGAAGGTCAGCGAGATCATCAATGGTGCCATCATGCACTACCGGGATGACCTGGACCTGCAGAACCTCATTGACTTTGGGCAGAAGGAGGTGCGTGGTGTGGAGCTCATGGCTCAGGCTGAAATCTGTGGGGTCGGGGATGTCAAGTGACTTCTCTGCGGGGATTTGGGGTCGTGGTGAAGCCCTGTGTCCTCTCTCCATCACAGTTCAGCTGCTGTGGGGGTGTCTCCTACAAGGACTGGTCCCAGAACATGTACTTCAACTGCACCATGGACAACCCCAGCCGGGAGCGCTGCTCTGTCCCCTTCTCCTGCTGCCTGCCGGATGATGACGAGGTGAGGCTGGTGTCCTCCTGGGGGATCTGCTCCTCCTCTTCCAGAAGAGGCAAGGACCCCCCAGTCCAGCCAGGTGTGGTTTTTGCCCCCAGGTTGTCATCAACACCATGTGTGGACATGGCATACAGGCCATGGGCTACGTGGAGGCCAGCGCTGTCATCTACACCCATGGCTGCATCGACAGCTTGGTCAACTGGATCAACAGGAACCTCTTCCTGCTGGGGGGCATTGCGCTGGGGCTGGCAGCCCCACAGGTAATGGGGAGGGGGGGAGAAGGGGCATTTGGAAGACACCTTAATGATGGGTCACACTGGAGGCGCAGGGGAGGCAGGGTTTGGGGTGGTGGGATGTTGTCCTTGCCAGGAGCCATGTCACCCACTTGTAGGACAGTGGGGTGATATCCTCCTGTTGTACTCCTGTCATCCTTTTTCCTCACCTACAGCTGGTGGGCATCCTGCTGGCTCAGATCCTTATCAACCAGATCAGAGACCAGATCAAGCTGCAGCTCTACAACCAGCAGCACCGGGCAGACCCCTTGTACTGATCCTGGTGCATCGCAGTGTCTGTCCCCACCGGGACTTCCATAGGATCCATAGGAAGAGCTGAAGGGACTTTGCTGGAGAAGAGGAAGGTTGGAGCTCTGGATGCTGGATCTGTGCACTGTGGCCAGGCTTTCCTGGGACGTACCAAGCTGCCGTGCCCTGTTTAGGGGACGAGACTGCTGTCTGTCTGTCTGTCCCAGGGGACTCCAAGCTGGTGTTCCTATTGTGCTTGAAGCACTGGGATGTGCTTCCCATCTCCCGTGCCCTCTGGAGGTGGGCAGTTGCCTGTCTGTCCGTCCATGCCCTGAGCTGCCTTTAGCCAGGTCAGTGCTGGCTCCAGAACTGGGGAAGTTCTTCCAATCCATTGGCATCATGGGGGGTGACCCATGAGACAGTCGAGGGCTTTGCTTGCTGGCTGGGAGCAGGAGCCATCAGCAGTGTGTCTGTCTGGAAGAAAGAGGAAGAGGAGGGTGTCCTGCCCAGTGCTGACCCGTGGGTGCTTCCATAGCCTGGGGCTGGGGTCCCATCTCTGCCCCCAGGGGGGCTCAAACCCCTCAATGGGGTGATGAACCCCCTGTGGAAGGGGGAATAAAGAGATGAGGCTGGACCCTGCGGTCCTGTGTGGCTGTGTGGTGGTGACAGGGACAATGGCACAGGGGGGACACAGCACCATGGCACTGGGGGACAAGGTCCTTCCCATGCATCACCCCCATCATCTCAGCAGCGTTATGGCTGCAGCACCTCAAAAAGAAGGGGGATGAAGGGGACAAGGGGCAGCACAGCCAGGGAGCAGACATCAGAGAGGCAGTCACAAACTGTGTGAGGAGGGTTTGCCTGTTTAGTTCTTTTCCTCCTCCTCGGGCTGGGTGGTCCCATTGCGAGGGGTGTCAGGATATTGGGATGTGTCTGGGAGCTGCCAAGTGCTGGCTCCCGCCTGTCCCTGATCCCCTGTCCGCGTGCTGCAGGAAAACTATCCCAAACTGTGCCCCTGGATGATGTTCCCCCCCAAAAGGGGGTTTCACCCCAAAGAGCACCTTCTAAAAGGTTCCCCCTCCCTCCCCAGCAACTTCCCACAAAGCAGTTGTTCTCCCTCCCCACCTAAAAGCTAAATGTGACTTGGCACCCAAAAGAGCAATTTCACCCCCAAAAGGGATCACTTCTCTGAAGGACACCCCCTCCAAAGAGTGGGGAGGTTTCTTCCCCCCAAAAAGTGACTTTTCTGCCAAAAACAGTGAGTTCTCACTAAAAAGTAGCTGCTCTCCAAGAATGATCCCCCTCCCAACTTACTTTTGTTTCCAGAAAGTGACTTTTCTCCCCCAAAGCAACTTTGCTCTCCCCAAAGAGCGACTTTTGTCACTAGAAAAGAACTTTTCTCCCCCCAGAAGTTGCTTTTATCCCCCCAAAAGTGACTTTTCCTTCCCCCAAAATAACTTGTCTCTATCCCCAAATAGTTTCCTCCCCCCCAAAAGGGACTTCTCTCCCAAATAAAACTTTTTCCCCCACAAAATTGGCTTTTATTTCCCAACATAACTTTCCTCTCCCCAAAAAACCGGATGTTTGTCCCCCAAAAGCAACTTTTCTCCTCCTAAGTGGCTTTTCTTCACCCCAAAATGCGTTTTCCTCTCCCAAAAGTAACTTCCCCCTCAAAACCAAGTTATCTCTTCTCCCTGAAAAGCTACTTTTGTCCCTCAGAACTGACTTTTCTTCCCCTAAAAGTAACTTTTCTGCCCTCAAAAGGGACTTTTCATCCCCAGCCTTTTGTCCCCCAAAAGTAACTTTCTCCCCAACCAACTTTTCCCCCTGCAACAGTGACTGTTACCCCCAAAATGTGATTTTTCTTCCCCTAAAAGTAGCTTTCTCCCCTCTAAGTAACTTTTCTCACCCAAGAGTCCCTTCTCTCCCAATAAAGTGCCTTTTGTCCCCTAAACCTGACTTTTCTCCCCTCCCAAAGGCGACTTTTCTACTCCAAAAAAGCAACTTTTCCTCCCCCAAAAAGAACCTTCCTCCCCAAAAGTTACTTTTTGAGTAAAAAGAAACCTTGCTCACCCCCAAAAGTACCTTCTGTTTCCTAAAAAGCAACTTTCATCGCCAAAAAGTGGCTTTTCTCCCACCAAAGTAACTTCTCATTCCCAAATGCAATTTTTCCCCTCTAAGCAGAAGCCATTCCTCCCCCAAAGTAACATTCCACCCCCAAAAAAGTTACTTTTTGCCCCAAAAAGAAACTTTTCTCAACCAATAAAGCACCTTTTGTTCCCCAAAGAGCTACTTTTGTCCCCAAAAGTTGACTTTTCACTCCCAAAGTCCGTTTTCTCATCCAAAAAACAACTTTTTCTTCCCCAAAACTAACTCTCCCTCTGAAAAAAGTGAGCTTCCCCTTCCCAAGTCTAACTTTCCTCCCCTAGAAGTGACTTCTCCCCCTTGAAAACAACTTTTCTCCTCTGGAAAAGTGACTTTTCCGCCCCAGAAAGCAACTTTACCCCCTAAACGTAACTTTTTGGTCTCCAAAACAACTTTTATCGCCCTAAAAAAGCAATTTTTCCCCTCAAAATCAGCTCCCCTGTCCCTAACCTCTCCTCTCCCAAAAGTAAACGCTTCTCCTCCGATCCCAAACTCCTCCCCTTCCAAAGCCGCTCTTCCCCGCCCCAAAATGCCTTCTCCCTCCCCCCAAGTCAGCTTTCCCCTCACAAAACCTAATATTTATCCCTCAAAACCCCACTTTCCCCTTCCAAAACCCCAACATTTCCCCTCAAAAACCCACTTCCCCATCACGAATCTCCACTTTCCACTCACAAACCCCGACATTTCCCCCTCCAAACCCCACTTTCCCCTCACAAACCCCATCCTTTATCCCTCAAGCCCCCACTTTCTCCTCACAAACCCCATCCTTTATCCCTCAAACCCCATCCTTTATCCCTCAAACCCCAACTTTCCCTCACAAACCCCATCCTTTATCCCTCAAACCCCCACTTTCCCCTCACAAACCCCATCGTTTATCCCTCAAACCCCAACTTTCCCTCACAAACCCCGACATTTCCCCCTCCAAACCCCACTTTCCCCTCACAAACCCCATCCTTTATCCCTCAAACCCCACTTTCCCCTCACAAACCCCATCCTTTATCCCTCAAATCCCAACTTTCCCTCACAAACCCCAACATTTCCCCCTCCAAACCCCACTTTCCCCTCACAAACCCCATCCTTTATCCCTCAAATCCCAACTTTCCCTCACAAACCCCAACATTTCCCCCTCCAAACCCCACTTTTCCCTCACAAACCCCATCCTTTACCCCTCAAGCCCCAACTTTCCCCCTTGGGAGACCACCCCTTTCCCTTCTCCCCGAACGCGATCCCCCGCCTCAAACTCCACTTTCCTCCCCAAAACCCCTCCCCTTCCCTGCCCGCTGCAAGAAAAAGTAACTTTTTCCTCACAAAAAGGCACTTTTTTTCCTCACAAACACCCGGTCCCCGCCCCGGTCTCCTCAGCCCGCCCCGGCGGGGGGCGCGGGGCCGTGGCGGGCCGGGCCGGGCCGCGCTGAAGGGGGAAGGAGGAGGAGGAGGAGGAGCGGGGCCGCTCCGCTCCCGGCGAGCTCAACAAAGGGCGGCGGGGCATGGCGGGCGGCGGGGCCGCGTAGCGCCGGTGCGGGCCGGGATGGCGGCGCAGGGCGGCGGGTGGCGGTGGGCGCTGGCGCTGGGCATGGCGCTGGCCCTGGGCGGCCGCCGCTGCCCCGCCGCCCCGCTCCTCAACTCTTCGGCCGTGCCCGAGCGGTGCCGCCGCGCCGCGTCCTGCGAGCAGCTGCGGTTCGGGTCCTGCCTGGGCTCGGCGCTGCCCTACGCCGCCACCTCCACGTTGTTGGCCACGGACTCGGCTTCGCAGGAGGAGGCGCACGGGAAGCTCCTGCTCTGGTCCGGTACGGGACGCACCGGGGCGAGGCCCGCGCCGGGCCGGGCCGGGCGCTGGCGGGGAGTGGGTAAAGGGGAGCCCGGAGCGGTGTGGAGGGGCGCAGGGGGTGGAATGCGGTGCAGGGAAGCGTGGTAGGGGCATGGGGATGGGTGCGGGGTGTGTGTGTGGGGGGGCTGTACAGAGCGGGATTGGGATGGGTGCAGCATAGGAACCTCGGTAACAGGGGCCTGGAGATGGGGACGGTATAGAGGGGAGCTGTATAATGGGGGATAGTACAGAGAGGGAGCAGTATAGCAGGGGACAGGAGATGGGTGCAATACAGATAGCTGTATAGCAGGGAATTGGGGTTGGGGACAGTACAGAGGGGAGCTGTATAGTGGGAGATAGGAGTATCCTACATGAGGCTGTATGGAATGGGCTGCAGATGGGTGCAGTGTAGAGGAGCAGTATAGCAGGGGACAGGAGATGGGTGCAATACAGATAGCTGTATAGCAGGGAATTGGGGTTTGGGACAGTGCAGAGGGGAGCTGTATAGTGGGAGATAGGAGTATCCTACAGGAGGCTGTATGGAATGGGCTGCAGATGGGTGCAGTGTAGAGAGGAGCGGTATAGCAGGGGACAGGGGGTGGGTGAAGTACACATAGCTGTATAGCAGGGAATTGGGGATGGGGACAGTGCAGAGGGGAGCTGTAGAGTGGGAGATACGAGTATCTCACAGGAGGCTGTATGGGATGGGGCTGGAGATGGGTGCAGTGTAGAGAGGAGCAGTATAGTGGGGAACAGGAGGTGCGTACAGTCTAGGAAGGTGTATAGAAGGGGACTAGAGATGATAGACAGGAGCAGTATAGCAGGGATTGGGGACACATACAGTATAGCAGGGTACAGGGGGTGGGTGCAGTACAGATAGCTGTATAGCAGCAGATTGGGGATGGAGACAGTATAGAAGGGAGCTGTGTAATGGGGGATAAGGGATGAGTATGGTATAGAAAGGTGTGTGGAAAGGGACTGCAGCTGGGTACGGAGTAGAGGGGAGCAGTATAGCAGGGTGTGATACAGGAAACTAATAGGGGACAGAGATGGGTGCAGTATAGGGGGGAGTAGCATAGCAGGGGATTGGGGATGAGTACAGTACAGAAAACTATAGTAAGGGCAGAAGATGGGTACAGTGTAGAGGAGAGCTGTATAGTGGGGGATTTGGGATGGGTACAGTATAGAAATCTGTATAGCAGGGTTATGGGAATGGGTACAGTGTAGACAGGGGCAGTATAGTAGGGGTATGGTCTGGGTACAATATAGAGAGGGAGCAGTATATCAGGGGATAGGGCATGAGTATGACAGAAGGCTGTATAAAATGGGCCTGGAGATGGGTACAGTATAGAGAGGAGCAGTACAGCAGGGGACTGTGGATAGGTACAGTACAGAGGGGAGCAGTATAGTGGGGAATAGGGGGGATGGGGT